TCTAGAATCGGGTTCGAGTTTAAAGGCTGACCCTGTGAATATTTAGGGTCGGGTTAACTTCGGTCTAGGACCAGGTCCGGCTCACACTCACCCCTAATAGTATCAATGTTATCTTATTAAGAAATTAATCTATTTTGGTGTTTGAATGTGATTAATTCCTAACGATCGAATAAAGCTTTATATCATAAAACATCTTATGAGTCATATTGACAGCATGTAAGATGCATTTATTAAACCCTCCTACCAACCTTTTTGATAAAATTAATATTCATATATTTTTCTTCGTTGTTGTTCATCACAGCTGGATTTTGATTATCTGTAAAGCAATACATTTAATGGTGTGATTATAAGTCTATAATGAATCTTCATAGATAAGATCTGCATTGAATACGACTAAAATTGATTTGAGTTTTTTAGTGAAAATAATATGTAAACCGCGATTCTCGCTATTTGTGTTTTTAATTAATCACTTTAACTATGACTTCTGGTACAAAACTACAAGTGAAGCAGATCTGAAATAGAAGAACAAAAGTCTTCTGTTACTGCTTGTTCTTTCCATCATATCAATCTATCAACTATTTTCTTCTCTTTTTTTGAAAATTTTGTTTATGAATATTTGCTATGTTTGAAAGCATAAAATAAAAAAAATTATCATGTCAACAAGGTATGATATAATTGGTAGAGTGTAATATATATACATGATCAATATAAAGATTTATATACAATTAATATATTTTATATTATACATGATATCAGATTGTATGTATAACATATCTTGGGAAAAGTCAGAAAAGTCAAAGAAAAAATTCAATGTTTTTGATGACTTACTCATTAGTTATAAATGTAGATTTTCATTATTGTTTCTTTCACTAATAATTAATGAATCAAAATTCTCTTTCCTGATAAATTAATGAATATGAAGAAAATAATTAAACATGTCCTTTTAACACTATTAATAGAGACGTAGGATGATTGGGGTCTGGCTCCTCTCTTGTAATGGAGAGGCCAGTGAGCCCTCAGATTGCGACACGTGTAATAAAACAAATGGACGGCTGAGATTTAAAATTGTATTACGTGTAATCGATTACACCAGTTAAACAGTGTAATCGATTACACAACCCTAGTAATCGATTACATGATGATAAACTAATCAGACCTGTGCATTTACATGATGTAATCGATTACACTATAATCGTAAACGATTACAACATATTAAAAGCATCAGATATGTGCATTTTTCACATTGTAATCGATTACACTTATCAGAACCATGTTTTTCTATTTTTTTTTTAAATATGTAATCGATTACCAAGGTTGTGTAATCGATTACACTGTTTAACTGGTGTAATCGATTACACCATATGGTAATTGATTACACGTAATACAATTTTAAATCTCAGCCGTCCATTTTTTTTATTACACGTGTCGTAATCTGAATGCTCACTGGTCTCTCCATTACAGGAGAGGAGCCAAACTCGGATGATTGGTACCAACATCAAAAGTCTATCACATGAAGATTTATATGAGAGCGTAATCAAAATTGCTGGACAAATACAGAAAAAATCTATGGGACCAAATTAAGAAAATAAATTAATTTGAGAGACTAAAATAGTAGTTTTGAAAGAAAAAACAATATATACAAGGAAAAGTTATCTACAATAAAATTGTAAGAATACAAAAAAATATGAATGTAAATATGTGTATGTATTAAGCATTCTTATCAAATTAGTTAAGAGTGATTGTCTATATCAAGCGGTTCATTAGAGGATATTTTATTTGGTGGAGAATTGATAGGTGAATTTACCCTACGATATTTTATTTCCATTCAAATTAGGCAACCCTAAACATAAGTGCTGAATAGACATGGGTTTGAGTGACCTAAATTGGAATTTGGTTTGTGACAACCTAACTCATTTAATGTGATTCTTCTTTTGATACTTTCCACCCACAACATAATAAAAGGTCACATTAAATAGGCAATAAGAAAAAGAAGAAAGATACATGGAAAAAAATAGGGTCTTTTTTTTTTTCAGGGGGTTATAAGACATATATGCTGAGCTCCACAAATAAATAAGTTAAAAGGAAATAAATATCAATGTTTCAGACAAAGGAATTCAATGCCATGCTAGTCTTTTAGAGGTAAAACATGAAGGTAACACTTGTCTAGTTGTACAAATGCTTAACGTGAATCAATGTAAGTGCCGATGGCTATTGAAAGCCACTTGGGATTCATTTCCAATATCTTCCGGAGTTGGATTTTGAAAGAGAATGAAGAGCAAACAGACCCGAAGAAGGTAAAAGGAAGGCTTCAATGTATTAGTTGAATTTTGGAGAGGAAATATGAGAAATTGAAGGCTTCAGAGTCATCTCATAAGTGTATTTCATGACTTTTAAGTATTCTCTTTTTCTTCTTTCCTATCCAGGAGTCATCTTCGGGGATGACAATGAAAATCAAACCTGTAAGTATTCGTTCAAACCCAACCCGAATTTAACGGGGAAACCCTTTGTGATTGGGTTCGGGTTTTACCCGAGTGCAACTTTCGAGTTCATGTTTGGTACATTTGATACCCTACCCCGAACCTGCCATGAACCAAATTAATATATGTAAAATTAAAAAATCACACATAAATACATATATAAAACCTATATATATATAAATTTGATATATATATATAACCTATATATATATATGTTTCAGGCATGTTCCCATCAAGTTTGGGTTACCCAATACTCGACGAATTCAGGGACCCCGATCGACCCCTAGTCATCTCACAAACGGACCCATAAAGTTCACTTACGAGTTGGGTTTTAGAGGGGAATGAATGGAAATGAAATGCTTTAGAGCTAGGAATGTACTTGTGTGCACTCGGTGATTCAGGACCTAGGGTTAGGGGGTGCAAGTTGTGTTGAGTGCAATGTTATTAAATTTGACTCAAACTGACATACACAACCTAGAAGAAACACCTAATCAGTTTGAGTTGCTCATTCGATCTCCCATGAACCAAAACTGATATGAATAAGTTCAAATCGACTATTTTGTGCGCAAAACTAGTGTCTCGCTCAGTCGAACCAGCCAAAACGATCTATTTATATTTGGCATGAATATGTTGCTTTCAAATTATTTTTAGTTATGCTAGTCATTATTGGAGTTTTGTTTATTAATTGTTAGTTTATATTGTAACAAAAATCTTAGTTATTTGATTAAGTTTTAAACTTATTTGTGTGGTTTTATTGTGATTGCAACCTAAAATTTGTTGTTTGATGATGTTTTCAACTTATTTATGACATTTTTTTATAGAATAACATTCTTTATTGGTTGTTTAATTAGTAAATATGTGATAATAATGTTTTTTAAATTTGAAATATATATTTATTAAACAATGTTAATCAGTATTACTATTTTTTTATATATTTTAGATATAAATTTATTTAACTAATCCAATATGATCTATATTTAATAACATTGATTAATTTGTTAATAAAATGTATCATAATATACTAGATGACTGATATTGATACAATTTTATATGATTAGGGATGCAAAAGTATTAACTATAAAGTTATTTATTTTCCTTCATTTCTCTCCAACCTCCAACTTAGAAATACTCTTAATCGTGCCTAGGTATTAGAGTGCATGCACCTTGTTTGGCTTTTTATTGGCTTGTTAAAAATCAACTTAGGATTCTAACATCATTTTGCTTTTGAATATTCCTTCTAGAACAGATTCTCCCCAAAGCAACAACAATAATTGTCAACACAGTTCAGAAAACAAGTCTGATATGGTGTCAGACTAAAGAGAAGTTACAATGAGTCATTGTATCTTAGTCATGGGTAATTATCCCTATGTTGTTCTCTCCTGAAATTGAGCAATGAGTGCCCTTTCTTACGTGGGAGGGGTATTTTTCTTACACAACTCTTATTGAAGTTAAATTGTTGTCTGTGTAAAAAGAATGGAGATCAATTGTCTCATTTTTCATGTCTCAATCTAATTATAAGGTGTCATCTACTTGAAAATAAAAATATAAAAAATGTAAAATAATACTTTTATATTATTTGGTGGGATATGATTAACTTGGTACATAGAGATATGAAATTCTTCTGGACTCATGATCCTCGTTCCTTTAAAAATGAATTTTTTTTTGGAAGTTGCAAAATTTACGGAACAACTTTATATGTCAAGAAGAATTGCAATTGGTGGAAATGGGAGGGATCAATTTACTCCAAGAGTAGGTGAAAATATCATACTCCACATCATAACCATCTAATCTTGGAAAATTCAATGGTTTAGATATACTCACAAATTCAAATCATTGGATTTCCCAAGAATGAATAGTCATAATATGAAATAGGTTTTTTCCACTTACTCTTGGAGTAAGTTAATCCATCCCCTTCTCGAAAACATTCTTTGTGTAACAAAAAAATTGTTGTACGTTTAATTGCATTTTTTATCCTTCCATCATAAAAACTAGAACTTGGTTATATTGAAAAATCCAATTTTTAATTAGTTAGTATATATTTGAATATCATGTTCTAATGTAATTTTTCAAATAGAAAAAGATATATACACTGACAGTACTACAGATTTTTACATTATTATTATATAGTTCATCATTCATATTTTATTATTATTGACTCTTAAGTAAAAATAATGCAAATGAATGATAAGTGATACTGATAGAAAACAAACTTTCATTTTAAAACATAGCACATTTAGAATACTTAAGTTTTTTTTTACTTTTTGAGTAAATGCTAAGTTTAATCTCTCATATTTTTCAATTTTTGAGGAAGCAAATTCATAATGTCAAAAAAAATATGAGTGTGAAATGAATATTTTTTATAATAATGTTCTGTATTCTTATTAAGAACTCAATTTTATGTTGCAGTTTTTGTGTGTTCTCAATATATGATAGTTGTTTATAGTGAATTGTCTTGTTAGAAAATATAAATAAATACAAAATAAAGAGATAAAACTATTTAAGAGACGTGTGAACGTTCTTACAATGAATATATTCCTCCTCTTTCCCTGTGTCTTTTCTGATATTTCTCTGTATATCTTTCTCTAACTTCACATTTTTCAGAAGTACAATAAATCTGGACCCTCCATCTGTCCCACTTTATGAAGCATGAGATAACATGTAGATTTCCTACTAGATTTTCCCATCTTTTCATGTTTTAACACAAACCTTTCACTTTTGCCAAGGTTGGTTAGATAGATAGATATAGATTTAGTTTTGTCCATGTCCTACATTTCCATTTCTACAGCTCCAAGTGCAAAACGTCAAATAAATCACATCCTCTTTTGACTCATCTTCTCTACCTCTTTGGATTCTCATTCACTTGGTGGATTTATCCTTCTATTTGTCATAGGGTAAGCTTCCAAAGAACCTTTATCTTATATTACAAAATATCATTTTCACAAATATAAATATATTGCGTTGGTTAGAAATATTTCTCACTTCTTCTTTATATTTCTAAAACTTTTTCCACCACACATTACCCATTAGGATGAGTATGGTCGGGTTGGGTCAAGTAAGATTTATCATTTACTCAATCCTAAATATTGGTCGGACCATTTTTTGAACCCGAACCTTAGACCATAAGCTAACTTGACCCCAAAATGTCGATTGAGTCAGCCTTTGAATTCGAATTCGGCCCTAGACCTCATAAATATTGACATGGCGATTGAGTCAACGTTTTCAACATTACTTATTATTATAAATATGTAATTTATGATATATATATATAACTATATTATTAATCATGTATATATGATGAAAAATTAGATAACTAATGATACTTTCGACCAAGGAGATGTCATTAACTCTGCACACAATTCAATAGAGACATACAAACATGAGTGAGTGACCATGGGATAGGTCGGGTCGAATCATGTTTGTCTCTTATCCGATCTTAAATATTGACATGGTCTAATATTGGTTGGGGATGCTTAAAATATATTGGGCTCAATTCCCTTCTTTTAACATTCACCAATTAGAAGCACTATGTCAGAATTAGGCATATGAGTATGCAAGAGTCTATAATATTAGCTGATAATATATATTGATAGTTAATCTATACTCCCTGTAATACCCTAAATTTAAGTCTTTAAAATTATAGTATCAGTCCTGGAAGTTTCGCTTGAGCGAGAAAGGCTCACCTGGGAGGGTGAAATTCTGGGCTATACTGGAGGATTCTCGCATGAGCGAGAGTTGTCTCGCCTGGGCGAGAAATGACATTTTGGGGATGTTGAAACTGTGAGATTCTCGCTTGAGTGAGAATCCCTTGCTTGAGCGAGAGCGTCAGATCTGAAATTTTAAAAAGGCGGGATTTTCTCGCCTAAGCGAGAATGGGCTCGCTTGAGCGAGAACCCGACAACTCCTCTTTAAAATAGAAACCCCAAACACATTTTAGGGTTAGAACTTTGAAGAGTAGAGAGAGATGAGAGCTTTTCAATAGCAAAGAGCCTTAGGACTCATCTTAGAGCTTGAGAAGATGTAAACCTCTTGTTTCTAACTATTCTTCTTCCTCTCTAACTTGTTTTGGGTATGTTTGATCTCTTTTCAAAATATGAGAAACCATGGAAACTCATCCTTTAGAGTTATGGTTCGTTTTATGTTATTTTTCTTTTGTGAACTCTTGGTTTAGAGTTGATATTTGATGAATGAAAATGTTTTGTGGGTTATTCATGAAAACCCCAAAAACCCCCAAAATGAGAATATGAGTAAAAAGAGAAATGGATGAAATGTTAAATGTGGATGATGAGTTTGTGCTTTGATGTTGATATATGAGATAAACATGTATGTTTAGATGTTTGGAAACTTGTGTTGAAGTAGTTTTGGAAATCTTGAAAATATGTGAATCCCTTGTATGTTTGATGATGAAATACGAGTTGTTTATGTGTTATTTTGAATAAATGACTGACATTGTTGTTATTGGTGGAAATGAGGAAAAATCCTAAGGTTGGAGGAAATCGCGGATGAGACTTTTAAAGTTACTCGGAACCGATACCCAACACTCACCAAGGTAAGGGATAAGTGTCTCTAATTCATACTCGCTGATGTGAATGAGGTATGTGGAAGAAGTAACGTGTTTGTAAGAATACTGTTGATACCCTACCCGAAGAGGTAGTGATTTATTGTTGATACCCTACCCGAAGAGGTAGTGGTTTATTATTGATACCCTACCCGAAGAGGTAGTGGTTTATGGTTGATACCCTACCCGAAGTGGTAGCGGATTATTGTCGTTATCCTACCTGGAGTGGTAGTGGAGTATTGTGGTTATCCTACTCGAAGTGGTAGTGGATTGTTGTGGCTGTCCTACCTGGAGTGGTAGTGGATTATTGTGAACTCGACCTGCCCGATGTGGTATGGATAATAACTCGATATGCCCGATGTGGTATGGAGGATAACTCGACCTTCCCGATGTGGTATGGAGAATAACTCGACCTGCTCGATGTGGTATGGAGGATAATTCGACCTGCCCGATGTGGTATGGATAATAACTCGACCTGCCCGATGTGGTATGTATAATAACTCGACCTGCCCGATGTGGTATGGAGGATAACTCGACCTGCCCGATGTGGTATGGAGGATAACTCGACCTGCCCGATGTGGTATGGAGGATAACTCGACCTGCTCGATGTGGTATGGATAATAACTCGACCTGCCCGATGTGGTATGGGGAATAACTCGACCTGCCCGATGTGGTATGGGGAATAACTCGACCTACCCGATGTGGTATGGGAAATGAAATCCGTGAATACGATTAAGTGAAATATGAAGGATGAAAATGAGGATGTGAATGATAAAAGTAATATTTATGCTATTATGGGATATATATACTATAGGGTAAATATGAAGGATGAAAATGAGGATGTAAATGATAAAAGTAATATTTATGTTATAGAATATATATTATGAGATATATATATGCTATAGGGTAAATATGAAGGATGACAACGAGGATGTGAATGATAAAAGTAATATTCATGCCATAGGATATATATTATGGGATATATACACTATAGGGTGAATATGAAGGATGAAAATGGAAGATGTTGAGAATGAAAGTAATATACATGCTATATGATATATATTATGGGATATATATACTATAGGGTGGATATGAATAATGAGAAGGACGATGTTTCGAAAGAACGTAATATACATACTATAGAATATATATTATGGGATATATATACTATAGGATGAATATGAGTAAAGTGGAAATTAAAGGAAGATGATATGAATGTTTACAATTACGCATGTGTATTTACGAATTATATTAAAGCTTAATCGTATTGGAAATGTGGATTATCATGTAATGTTAGTTTTTGAACTAATGACTTACTCCCTGGTTTTGTGTGTTGTTTATGATAATCCCATTGTAGGTAAATGAAGGATTTGAGGAGGAAGCTCACTTAGGAAGCTTATGTGTTTATTATCTTGATTGTCTTTATCGCTGCTTTGACATTGTAGTTGATTTGATAACATTTTGAGATGAATGTAAATATGATTAGGACAATACTGAGATATGTAGTTATGGAGGTTATAACTCTTAGAAACTCATACTGGTCGTATGTGGTAATTACTAAATGCATGAATTATGTTTTTCCGCAACATGAATTGCATGATAACGTAATAGGTTAAAAGATTAGTGTCAATGAATTATTCATAAAGGTTTTTCAGTAAAATAATGAATGTATGTAAGGAAAGATTTTAAATAAACAAAAAATTTTCAAGGATAGAATTTGGGTCCTTACACTCCCGGTGACATAAGCATAATTGGTCGAACCCCGTTATTAAATTCTCTTATCTTATTCTATTTATTATCTGACCTTTATTAATTTCTTGTGGCCAACTCTGCATAACGATCACTTCTTTTGCATCAATAATTGATAACAGAGTCAATTGCTAAATGATCATTTACTCAAGTGCAAAATTCATAGTGGAGATATTCAATATAACCGGCAACTATGGATATTTCAATAGATGGTAAAAGATATGTTACTTGAACAAGATCAATTAAAGATATTGTTTGAGGATAAACCGAATAAGTTGAATGAGGAGAAAACATGGCGAGATCATAGTGGAGACCATGGTCGTGTTTGACCTAGAACCCCAAAAACCCATGTATTGGATTAAGACCGATCTCGAGCATTAGGTTGTTGGACAAGTTCTAGCAATATCTCTCTAGTTGTTGGAGAAGATGATCCCACTTGATATGATAAGTCGTGTATCCTTATGGCATGTCCATGGCGACTTGGAGAAGGATGTCAATTTCTAACAAATCCACAAAAGTGTATGGGTGCTATCTAGCTTTGATGTAGTGTGTAACACAAATATTAGTAGAGATGCAATGTGTGACACTAAAGTTGGCTTATATGCAAGAGTGTGACACAGTCATTGATTGACATCGGTGCAAGGTTTGTAGTTGTATTGTGGGTATACTACTTGTGTTGAAGTATGATAGTTGTTTTAAACTATGTTGCCAAAATAGACAATGGTGGTAGCAATTGAGGCTTTCCAAAGAAACTTTGTTGTTCATTTGAGCTTAGTATTGAAGAGGGCACTTGTTGGCAAACTTTAGTGTAGACTTTCATAATTTTGAGAGGTTTCCTAGTAATGGAGAGCTATGCAACATGTTTCATTGGACGGTGGTACAACAAGTTGCATTATAAGTTTGGAGAGCTTGACTCTCAATAACATCGTCAAAGATACTCGACAAAGCTTACACTGAAGGGGATCATGTTGTCATGAGTATGTCTGAGCATCATCATGGATACTCAAGCACACATCATATAAGTCTTGGGTCATTAAGTGTGCTAGAATTCGTAATCTGTATTTAATAATAATACATATTGATATTCGTTCTACGCTTTTAAGGGCATAAGTATAATTGGTCGAACTTCATTATCAAATTCTCTTATCTTTTTGTCTTCTATTTATTTTCTGCCATTTATTGATTATTTGTTGTCAACTATGCACAACAATCACTTTTACTACACTAACAACTTTTATGAAAATTTGAGTTAAAGTAGGGTACCTTATAGTTCCTTAATAATATAAAACTTTACAGTGATTAAGTAAAAATTAATCTCTACAATTATCATAATATGCAAGATTATATTTATTTTTAGATATAATTTAATAAAATGCAAATTAAAATATGCATTTAGTCAGCACTTTATAGGAAAGCACTAACGAAGCTTTTTGTAAATGGCATGGACAAATTTGACACCACTTAGTCATAGCTCACGGGCAAAATATGAACAATGTCACATGCTTATTCCACTCTTTCTAACCCCATGTGGGATGTTGTTAAAAGTCATAAATCACATAATCATATATTCTTATGACTCTAAAGTACCAAAAAGATAAAAGCCTTCCCTCTAATTGGTGTATTCCAAGTTGACCCTATACTTTTAGCATTCAAATTAAAGAATAAATTACCATCATTCAACATTGGGTGGGACTTTTTAAATATTGGACCCTCCACAAACTGAACTTTCAGTTTCACATTAAGGGATAAAGTCTTAGGCCACTTATTTATGAAGGAAAAGCTTTACCCCTTCACGTAATAATTAACAAATAGGTATGGTTATTAGCATGCGCAGCCAAAATAAACAGGCTTAGCTTAAAAGTTAAAATCTTACGCGTGATCAACCTAAGCAAGAGAAATGAATAATTTTATTTTATTTAAAACTATTTTAATAAGTTTTCTATTTATGACATACATTTTATGTTTTTGAAATATAGAATGTACTTACTATTTGTTGAATATTAAGGAAATTACTATAACCATATTGCAAATATAAAAATAAAATTAAAAATGAGACAAAGTGAAAGAAAAATGATATATACTAAATTAATAATAAAAAATGCTATATGCTAACAAGGAATAAAAATGGAAAGTCTTTATTTAAAAAATTGAAACGTCTGTAAGAAAGTGGTATTTTAAATTTTCAATATATTAAATATATTTTTTTAATAAAATATTTTTATCTTAATTTTTTAACTAATATAGGATATTTTTATATGGATAAAATATGAGATTTGAATATTGGGGAGAGATCTATTTACTCCAAGAGTAAGTGGAAAAAACCTACTCCACATCATTGTCATTCATTGTTGGGAAATCCAATTGTTTGAATTAATGAGTAAATCTAAACCATTGGATTTTCCAAGAATGAATATTTAAGATGTGAAATAAGTTTTTTTCACTTACTCTTGGAGTAACTGAATCCTCTCCCTTGAATATTTATATGTGAAATTTTCCAAATAGTAAAAAGAGTCTTTCTATTCCTAATTCCAAAAACTACATTGTGATCTTAATTCTCTCATAGGTGTTTGTTTCATGGTATAGATCTATAATCATGTGAATAACATTCTCAAGAAAGGAATGTCATTCTTGATTATATTTAAATATATATTTGATTGACATTTACATTCATGGTGAAATGTTATTCTTGCTTTTAACTGCCTTATCTCGACCGATAACCTAACTAACTGTTAATCCATTTCATGATACTTTTTTTCAAGCACTTTGCATTAACATGTTGAGCATTGCCCTAAAGGCATTAACCCCATGCTCCATATCCAACCACCCCATATATACTGAATTTGGTAGGAATACTTTTTAAAACCTTTAAGGGGTTTGGTTATAACTTGATGGAAGTTTTGGAAGCTACCACAAATGTGCTCCTATTTCCACAATTGCCAAAAGTTTTGCTCATAACTGCAATTATTGTTTATGGATATGCTTTTTGAATTGGATCATTATTATGTTTAACATTTGGTGTTAAGTAGAAGTTTGACTAAAAACTTTAGGTTTGTTGGTAATGTATTCGGAAGGAATTAATTGAGAGTTCCATGCCTGTGTCCTTATAATTCTAAAATTTAGTTATGATGTATGATTGGGCACTAGAATAATGCAAAAGTTTTTAACATTGTAATTACATTATTCATTTTAATAACTATTAACTTTTAAAATTATAAATATAAATAATAAAAATAATTAGTGAAGGATGTATAATGATTATAACAATTTATATATGAGTGTTAAAAGACTACAAGCTTATCGATTTTTTTCAAAATCTACCGTATATGCAAGTGACCATTCTTGCTGCACTGTTTTTTTGTTAATTTATTTGAAATTAGAAAATTCACAAAAAGATACTAGCTCTCATGTTTTTATTTCATAATGCTGCAAATCTAGCTTGTATGTGTGGCATGTCAACAATTAAATTTGTTTTTTAAGAAAAAGATAAAAAGAAATAAAGTTGACATTAATGATTAATTTATTGATGCATTATTCCCTTTACAAAAATATGTCCTTAAACTCAGAAACTGTTTTCCTTCAATATACAATTTGTAAAAAGTAACATTTCCAAAAGCATGGATGGACTTAATTAACTATCAGAAAATTCCATATTGTTAAAACTCACCCCAATAGGGTGAACAAGACCCGACTCTATTCGCTCATCCAGTTTGGTCAGACCATAATTGGATCCAAATAGGGTCTGGTCACTCAGGTGTAGGTCAGGTTCGAGTTCAAAATTAGACCCGATCAATATTTAGGGTCGGGTAGGAGACAAGCATGACCCGACTCGACCCTTCATGATCATTCACTTGTCATTTTTGTGTTTGTCCCTATTCAATTATGTACTGAGTAATGATATCTCTTTGGTCGAAAATATCATTAATTCTCTATTTTTTTAGCATATGTACATGATTAATAATATATATACACATATTATTTTATATGTAAAATTACATATTTATAATATTAAGTAATTTTAAGAAGATTGTATCTAAAATGAGTATGCATCGTATTTAATCGTGTATAGGATCGAATTTGAGTTCAAAGCCTAACCTGATCAACAATTAAGATCGGCTTAGCTTCAGGTCTATGTTCGGGTTCAAAAAATGACCTGACCAATATTTAGGGTCGGGTAAGGGACAACCAACCCGGTCCATACTTACCCCTACCTAAAATGCTAGATTATAGAGACAATAACATCATAATGTGCATTAGTGTTCCATGGTTTTGAAGTGATGAAAATTTTATCCCTGCTCTTTATTAGTGTTCAATGGCAAGCAACAAAGATTGAAGCAAGGTTTATTGAGGGTCTATCTCACATAAGAACATAACATGCGTGCTATTGGCTAATGAGTTATTTTCTCTCATAGTATGCATCAGAAAGTGTCTAACAATCCAATTTTCAAAGAGTTGTGAGATTAAGTTAAAGAGTTACTATTAGGGAGCATCCAATTTTTCAATTTTCTTCATGCATTATTCTAATTCAAGGGAAAAAAATAGAATTATTCAACTCGGAATGGATACTATGAGAATACAATGCTGCAAGATTTTTATGAACAGATGAACCTAACAAAATTGTTAATGGTCTGTTCAGTTAGATTTCTATACTAAAATGTATCATACACTAAAATGAATTGAACCATATTATTGAGTTTGATTTTTGAATTATACTAAAAACCGAACCAGACCAATATATCCCTAATTAATATGTATAAGGATTTGAAGTAATTTGTTTTTTGCATGATGGTATAATTAAGTGCATGATAAACTCACCATGAAGTCAATTTTATAAAATCTAACGCACTTATGGATTTGTTGTAAAATTACATTTTTTATTTCTTAAATGTTAGAAATTTCTGAATGTCATATCAGCATATATTTCCCACAAAACCCTCTTTTTATATTATATAATTGATTGTCTTGGATTTACCAATAATGGAACCAATTTAGCTAGATATTGCTAATCGAGAGAGAATTTAAATAATGAAAATTCCAACCGACACTAAAAATCCACCTAAACAGAATAATCGCTGTAAATTATAGCAACAAAATAAAAAGCACTCACACGAAATGGTACAAGCATGATCATGTGAGTGGTGAAAAGCTGTTTTTGACCAAATTGGAAAGT